GCATTTAAGAGACATTTGTAATCTTATAAATTCATACAAAGATGAATAATAAGATTAGGTTGTTGATATCCAAAAAATTATCTTGCAAGTGTTCTTTCCTAGAGTGATTGATTTGTCTAGCCCAATCAAGGAAGTGTCTTGGTCACATGAATGATTCTACAATTAGTAGTCTCAAGTGATTCCACTCGTTGAGCAATTTGTGACAAATCAAATCCACTCAATTCTTATCTTCTTCTTCTCCTTTTTTTTTTTTTTTGATAAATTTATCTTCTTCTTCTCTTTGGCAATGAGCCTCTAAAAAGTGCTCAATGAGTAACAAGAAGATCCATCTTATCTCAAGTACAAAGACTAGAGAAAAAATTAGCTTCACATATCACAATATATGACATGAATATTTGTTTAAGATACGCATCCTAAACCAATGTTATTGTGAAGCAATTTGCACAATCTGAATTGCCTCTAACAAGGTAAGTAGCATTTTGATAAAAATCTTAATTTTATCCAAGTTGGGAAGGTGGGCATTCATGGGTATGTGGCTGGGAGAGCCCCAAAATAAACAGCCCCTCCATCATTATTTAGAGCTCCCATCACCATTGGAACCAAAAAAAAGGAAGGAGGAAAAACATTGCTAATAAATCCCTTCCAAGACAAAAAGATGTTTCTCCATCCATCCCTTTGCCTCTCATTCAAATTATAAAAAATTAGAACCTTCTCTTCTTCAACTAAAGATTGAGCATAGGGAAGTCATTAGGTTTTTGGAGCTAGGTGCAAAAATATTATAGGGAAGTCATTTGGTTTTTGGAGCTAAGTGCAAAAATATTGAAAGGTTCTTTAGAATCTTTTTTATCTAACCAATGTCTATGTGTGTGTACGTGTGTCGCAACAAGAGAAAGTTCAGCACTTGCTTTACTTCCAATTTTTTGTATGTTGAAATTTTAACATGGAATAACATGTTTGTTTCAACAATTTCTGAAGTTATTCCAAACTTTTTCGCATCTACTAAATTAAGTAGTCTAAAACCCCCATTCGCAGCGTTAGTTTGCCACCTTATGACTTCAAAGCCTGCAAGGTTAACATTTAAAATCCTACAACTATACATCTAATTACTTAAAGTAATCCTTTAATCCCAAATATATATATTTGCATTATCATGCTGTATAAAATTGAAATGGGTTATTGTTTAATAGCAATGAATTATGAAATATTATAAGCAGACAGTGAATCTGGTCCTTGGGAAACCAGTTAGCAACATGTCTCAGATAACCCTAATCACATTAACAAAAACAAAAAAATAAATAAATAAAAAATAAAAATAAAAAACAGTGAATCAAAAAAGGATACATCAAGTAAAAGCCAGGAGCAAATGCCCCAGCAAGCACAACAGTGAACAAACGGTCCCCCAAAAAAGGGTTATGTCGCAATTGAATTCGAACTGAAATTTGAGAACGCAAAGATTAAAACACTGAATGGATCAAACCCATTCTTAGAAACATACAATTTAGTAAATTTACAATGAACCATCATAAAGAAATTAATAAAAATAAAAATAAAACCAGAACTACTACTTACTGAGAGGAAGAACAGGAGCATAAACTAGGGGAAACAGAAATTTCAAAGGGGGTCCTTTGTTTTGTTTCCTAGCAGCAGCCTGCCTTGGAAAATACATTTATATATCAAACTTCAGTAAACAAAAGAGAGAGATCGAGATCTGACAGGGTAATAGCAGGGATCCAATGTTTTATCAATACTTTTATCAAATAAAAATGTTTCATATGATATACACCACGTAAAATTCATATCGTGTCATAAAAATATTTCATATGATATGAACCCACATAAAATTCATATCGTGTGAGTCCCTATAACATTTTTCGATATGATATGATTACCAAAACTACAAACACAATGCATAAATATTTTATTAATATTTAAAACGTGTCTCTCTCATTGTGTTGTATGTTTGTATGATTAATATGATATGATATGATATGATTAATAAAATGAAAAATTAGTCTAGGGTCTCTCTCCCATTTTTAGTAATGGAAGAGATCCAATTCACAATATTATTTTTTGATAACTAAGGTCCCTAAACCCACACCATATATCATATCAGAGAAATGTGACTCTCTATCTCTCCTCTTCTACTACAGAGCGGTACTTCCAATCTCTATCTCTCTCTTTGAAACCCTAGACAGAAGAGATGGGCAAAGTCAAGGGTAAGCATCGTTTGGACAAGACTACCACCGAGCAAAAGAACACGGCTACAGATCTTGCACAGCATAGAAGCTCATCCAGCTTGAGTCCAAGTTCAGCTTCATCCACTCCTCCCACGCCATCCTCGACCTCTACGCCATCCCTAGTGGCTGGATGCAAGTCTCCGTCAAGCGCGTCCCTGTCGGCAACCTCGTCATCGACGTCAACCTCATTGATGAGTGATGATAATTTACGAGGGAGTTAAGGGAGTCTTTGGATTTTTCTTGGGATTGACGAGACAATGGAGGACGATGATGCAGATGAGGGTTTGAGGCGCTTGTTTGGCTATTGAATTTCTAGGTACACGGCTTTGCTTGCCATTGCTTTGAGATCGTAATCATCAGAAGAAGAGTCTTGGAAAATTCTGTGATTTAGGGGGTGGCAGTGGTTGTCGAAGGCCGACGGAGGAGGGAGGGAAGAGTCGAAATTAGGAAGAGGGTGGAGCTTGGAAATCATGGATTCGAGCCAAGAAGAGAGATTGAAAGGGTTGTAGTGAACAGTCTTTGAAGCAAGGTGAAACAAGTCATCTTCCTGAGCATGACCCATCACTTCTTCGAGCTGTTCGAGCTTCTGAGCAACTTCGCTCATGTCGAAAGCTTTCACTTTGTAACCCAACACAGCCAATAGCTCATCCATCCTAGCATCCTGTTCCTCCCACATCTTACTTTTCCCACCCGCCTCCTCCGTTAAGTAACCACAGCCGCCGCAGAAAGTGTCTTTATAAGGAGGAGGAGGAGGGTTATGGAGGTCGCTTTTCATCTCTCTCTCACTATTTTTTTGTCTAAGACGAGGGGAGCTCATAAAATGGCATCATGTAGCCAAATGCAACAAACGGAACAACGACAACGTGAGTCTGTGTCTCCATTTTTTCCAGCAAAGAGAGTTTTTTATTTTTTGAAGTTGTGAAAGTTTTGACTAGTAAAAGAAAAACAGAGTAGCAATACTAATAAAAAATTGTTAGATATAAGCACAACATCTGGGAATGGAAAGCTGTGTTGCATGACCTACATTTAAATATTGGCACAGCAACTGGAAATGATTGTATTCATTTCACTATATTGCATGTTCACAACACTCAATTTGTTCATATGAGTTTAGATGTAAAGATTTTCCTTTCAGCTATTGAATTCCTCTCTCTTTTATCAGGAAAATTTCTCTAGTTTGGTTAAAACAATTTTCTCTAGTTTAAAATTGTGAACAAACACAGAGAAATTTAAAATTTCTCTAGTTTTGAACCTAGAGAAATTCTTTTGTCACTTAATTTGTCTACATCTTCAAGCTCATGCAAGTAAGTTTTTCTATATACAAACATATATTCCTAATTTTTTGTCCTAACTTTGCATGTGTAGTTGTTATTGATAATAATTCTTTTTTTTTTTTTTATTGATAATAATTCGTTTTTTTTTTTTTTTTTGCTTTTAGATCATTGTAATGGCATTGATTACAATGATAGTCTTCCTACGAACTGACATGCGTCGAAATTCAACAAGTCAGATTAGAAATTTGGGAGCTTTTTCAAATTTATCTGGTTGTTCAAATTTCTCTAGTAAGTCTCTAGGTTGTTCAAATTTCTCTGGTTGTTGAAATTTCTCTGGTAGATCTTTGGTTTGTTGAAATTTCTCTGGTTGTTGAAATTTCTCTGGTAGATATTTGGTTTGTTCAAATTTCTCTAGTAGGTCTCTAAGTTGTTCAAATTTCTCTGGTTGTTCAAATTTCTCTGGAATCTTTGCTATTGCCTCATGCTACCTCCAGTTAATCATTTATCTTGTTGTGCATTTGTGTTGATGCTATCAAAGTGCTCTTGCTTATATTGCGTTTATGGTGCTGCTACAGCTGATATAGAAAGAAGATAATGATGATGATGATGATGATGAAGGCTATCAAAGAATTTCTCTGGAGAAAGAATTTGAATTTGAACTCAAAGAAATTGGTCTAAGGTCCCTCTCCTATTTTTGATAATGAAATAGATCTGCAAAATTTGAATTTGAATTTGAACACAGAGAAATTTGAATATGAATTTGAATTTGAATTTGAACCCAGAGAAAATTGGTCAAAATGATTTCATAAAATAATATTGTGTCTTTATGATCCAGAGAAAATTGGTTAAAATAAACCCAAAGAAATTTGAATTTTCTCTAGGTTATAAATGAACCCAGAGAAAATTGGTCAAAATGAACCCAGAGAAATTTGAATTTTCTCTGGGTTGAACCCAGAGAAATTCTTTGGAAGTCTAGAATTTCTCTAGACAAAATTTTTCTGGATCAAATTGAGGGACCTTAAACATTATGAAAATAGTAGATGTCCTTTGCGACAAAGTTGGCCAACATTGTAGTACTGATATCAACATGTCGAAATAGGCTGACATCTTGATACATCAGTTCATATGTATGATAATATTGTTTGACATTTTGATAGGAATACTACAACATAATGGCAATTTAACCATAGGAACTTTACGTTGGTCATGCTTGGTAAAGTGCCGTTCTTATGGATTTTACTTGATATTTTGATATGATGTTGCAAAATTTGAAATTCATCCTAACAGCACCTCAATCTCGCCTTCAATCACATCAATTACTCCCACAGTCCATCAGCATTTGGTCACTTTGCCAATTTGACACATCTTAACCTATCTCATTCCAGTTTTTTGGGCTCAATCCCATCAAAAATTCACCCTGCTCAAACTAGGTTCACTCGATCTCTCCTATGGCAGCCAACTAAGACTTGAATCGCACAATTTCAGAACGATGCTAAAAAACCTAAACCAACTGCAAGAACTTGTCCTTTCTTTTGTAGATATATCTTCAGTTGTACCAATGTCTTTGATGAATATGTCTTCTTTGACGTATCTGGATCTTACTCTCACTGGGTTGCATGGGAAATTACTGGATATCATTTTTCACCTTCCAAACTTGCAAATTCTCTTTTTAGGAGTCAACTTTGATCTCACTGATAATTTAGCCAAAGTAAATTGTAGTAGTAGTTCCCTCAAGATGTTGAATCTCGTGTCTTCGAGTTTTTCTGGAGAATTACTTGGTTCAATTGTCTATCTCAAGTCTTTGAATTCCTTGAATCTCACCAGTTGCAAATTCTCTGGGTCCATTCCTAAATTGCTTGGGAACCTTACACAGATCACTGATAGTTTCAATGGTCAGATCCCATTTACTCTCTCAAATCTTAATCAGCTCACTCTTTTGGATCTTTTTGAAAATAATCTTGATGGGAAAATTCCTAATTTTAGTGGGCTAGACAACCTACAAACACTTCACTTGCACAATAACTCACTAAATGGGACACTACCATCTTGGTTGTTGAATCTTCCATCATTGACAGAATTAGACCCGAGTAGTAATCAACTAATTGGCCAAATTCCAGAGTTCCAGCATAAATCAAAATTGATGAACATTGACTTGAGTCATAATGAACTATATGGCCCCATTCCACAATCAATTTCAAATCTTGTGAATTTGACCCAACATGATTTTTCGTCAAATAATTTTAGTGATGTTGAGGAGCTACAAACATTCTCAAATCTAAAAAATCTCGATTATCTTGATCTTTCATACAATCTAGGAAGCATAGATACGGATACGACACGATACGGATACGGCGATACGACAAAACCTAAAAAAATAGGATACGTTTACGGCAAGGATACGTTTGTGGAAAATATATTTTTTAAAATTATTAATAGTGAGTTACACATAAGTTAAAGAATGTTAAGAAATCACAATGTAATTTTATAATGCACAATACTATCCTTTAAGAATTTTGTATTAATTTAAGCTAGTAGCTTGTTTACTTTTTAAATTTTTAATAGGTCTTGCAAATATTTCATTTCAGTATCAAATTTAATATATTTATATTACAATAATAGAACAATTCACAACTTGTCCCTATGTTTTTTCCTTTGACACTAGTGAAAAATATTATATTCAAGTTTACTTGCTTATTTATTTATTGATATTTAATTTTACCATTGTTATATTCTTTTGTTAATTCTTAGTTTCTATGTAGTTATAGGGGACATGCAAGAAATAATTAGGATACATCAATTTGATAAATTCTATTATTTAACTCACTATGCTCTTCTTATCGAAGAACTTAACAAAGTATTAGAAAAATATTCTTATATTTATACTTGCAATTATATTATATTCTATTACTATGCAATAAATGTTACAATTCTAATTTCATAAAACAAGTAAACATGACTTGGAGTATCCGATACTTCTAAATTAAGTATCCGATACTCCAAAATTAATGAAAAATTAATTAAGAAGTATCCGATACTTTTAATAAGTATCCGATACGTATCCGCGAGTATCCAAGGAGTATCGGTATCCGATACGGATACGTCACCCTATTTGAAGTATCCGTGCTTCATAGCATACAATAGTCTTTCAGTGAGTACAATCAACAATATCAACAATACCTTGCTTGAGCTTAGGTCATTCTATATGACTTTTTGCAAGATAAAGGAATTTCCTGATTTCTTTAAAGCCTTAGAGATGTTGAACAACTAGACATTTCCAACAAAGAAATTCATGGGAAGATTCCAAAATGGGTTGGCATCATCGGGAAGGCTTCATTGTGGTACTTAAATCTTTCCCACAACTTTCTAACAGCTATAAATCAATTTCCTTGGAAGAATCTTGAGATTCTTGATCTTCGTTCCAACTTGATTCAAGGACAACTCCCAGTTCCATCACTTTCTGTACTTTACTTCTTCTTCTCACAAAATAAACTCACCGGAGAGATTCCTTCTTCAATTTGTAATGCGAGTTTCCTTTACATCCTTGATTTGTCTCACAACCACTTGAGTGGTGCAATTTCACAATGTTTGGGATACTTAAGCAATGTTCTCTATGTATTAGATCTGCGGTTCAATGCCTTGCAGGGGAACATCCCCATGATATTTGGAAAGGGTAATTAGTTGGAAATTCTTAATTTGAATGGAAATCAGTTTGAAGGACCAGTTACACGATCCTTAACCAATTGTAGACAGTTACAAGTTCTAGACCTCGGAAACAACAAGATAAATGACATTTTTCCATACTGGTTGGGGACACTTCTAGAGTTACAGGTTCTTGTCTTGTGATCCAACAAATTTCATGGTCCAATAGACAATTCCAAGCCAAACCTCTCTTTTCCCAAACTTCGAATTGTTGACCTCTCCCACAATTAGTTCACTGGCCATTTGCCAGGGAGATATTTCAAAAATTTCAAAGCTATGAGGAATAAGACTATGCCAAATGAAAAATATTTGAGTGTTGGATCATATTATCAAGCTTCTATTGCAGTGACAATGAAGGGGGTCATATATTTCTTTAACGAGAATTTTTACTCTCTTCACAGCAATTGATTTATCATCTAACAAATTCAATGGAGATATTCCAAATGTCATCCGAAGGCTTAATTCTCTCATAGTGCTTAATTTATCTCATAATAGCCTTACGGGCTTTATTCCATTTTCTTTAGGAGACTTGACAAAGCTTGAATCACTAGACCTCTCTTCAAACCAGCTTATTGGGAAAATTCCTAACCAATTAAAGAGTTTGACATTTCTTGAGGTCTTTAACCTTTCATGCAACCATTTTGACAGACCCATACCCGAGGCGAACAATTTGATACATTTGTAAATGATTCATATGTTGGGAACTCGAGATTATGTGGGTTTCTATTGTCAAAGGAATGTAAAGATAATGAAGCACAAGTTCAGCCAGGGGTGCTATGACAACAGGAAGATGAGTCAAATTTTGTAATTGGATTTACTTGGGAAGCCGTGGTGATGGGGTATGGTGTGGAACGACATTGGGATTGGTTATCGGATTCCTCATGTTCTTAATTGGAAGACCGAAATTGTTTGTGAGAATTGTTGAAGGGAAAAAGCATAATACGGTGAAAATGTTATGACAAGGTGGCAGAAGAAATTAGCAAATATGGATTATGTTTTCAGGTATGTGATGCTCATTCTTAGTTTTAATGATTTTATTTTATTAGTTATCATGATTGTATTAAACTCTCTTAACTTCATGGTACTTGTTGCTTTTTTCTAGTTCTATATCTTTAAAAGTTTACGATCTAATTACAGAATAAGTAAAAGGTTATTACATATATTCTACTTAGGATCCTGCCTAATGCACATGTAGTTCTTTTTCGGTACATATAGAATTGTTTCATTGATAACAACCAAAACCAAAATAAAAAATATGTTTTGCTATGATTAGCTATTAGACCATTGCTAATGTTAATGTAGTTAGTTTCAAAAGCTAGTTTTGTACTAAAATAAACTGTATGATGGATTTTCTATTGGTCAATCTTGATATATTTTGCCAAATAGTTGGATTACTACAATTTTGTTTTCCTCAATTTATGCTAGACATCTTGATCATCTTGATTGGCTGTAATATTTTATGTCTGGTTGACTTTGGAAATCTTCACAGTTGACCCATAAATGTTGCCAATTCAAAGGCTATCATATTTTGGCGTGAGGCCAATAATTAATTCTATTTTACATAGACTCAAATATGGATATTGGTTACAAGTATGTGTTGAAGGTTCGGATTCACCTATTTCTCATCCCTAATGACAGGAGGACATGTATAAATTTTATAGTTCTTACATTGAACTTTGTATTCATAAAACTAGATTGGGTAAATTACAAATGCACCATTTGTAATTTGCTTAAAATACAAATTGTTCTTATAGGTTTAAAAATTACATCTTTCTCCTTCAACTTCTTAATTGCATAACAAATAATTCTCTTTTAGAGGGCTGATATTTACCCCCACCTAATTACTTTGGCCCACCCATTTCTTTAAACCCCCATTGAGCAAAATGAAACCCTTACATTTTTTTCTTTAAACCCCCACCTTAATGCCTAACTATGCCCCCTAATCCCAAAACCTAACCCAAACCCTAACCCCTTCCACTTCTCTCTCTAATTTGGATTCTATCTTTGTTTTCTTGCATTCAAATTAAGTATGAGTGAGAAACAGAGCAAAAGAAAAGACCCATCAACAATGGCTACCATTAAAACCTCTATCATAGACTATGGTGAGTGATTTCTTGCATTCTTTCTCCATCTTTTCTCTTTTCTTCTTCATTTTCTTTTGAAAACCTTATTTTCATCTCTCTCTCTCTCGCTTGCTCATTCTCTCTAGCAATGGATAGAAATGTCACGATGGCAAAGTAGATTCGACAACACAATGCTAAACAAATCCTAAATGTTTGGCAACACAATGTTGAACGAATCCTGAATTTTTGAAAAGACAGTGCTAAACAAATCTTCTTGGTTCGATAACACAATGTTGAATGGGTTGATTTCTCTTCTCTGATTTTGATCTACAATAGGGGATGAGAGTGCTTGTCGGTAGAGGTGATGGTTAATTGTGATGGAGGGAGTGGTGGTTGTGATGGTGATGAGTGTTCAGAGATGGTAGAGGTTATAGTGATGAGAGGTGGTTAGAGGTGGTGGTATTGCCGGAAGTGATTAGGGTTGGGTTAGAGTCTGGAAAATTAGGTTTAGAAGATTAGGAATGAGGGTAAAAGTGGAATTTTTAATTGGGACAAAATTGGAATTAAAAAAGAAATGAATGAGGTGGGGGTTGTAAGAAGAAAGGTAGGGTTAATAGTAATTCGCCTCTTTTATTCTTATTAATAAATTATCAAGTTAATTAACAGTTTTTAATAATATTAGAAATATATTAAAATTAAAATTCAGGTAATTTTATTATTGTATAGAATAATAGTTAAAATTTTTATTTTTTCTATTAATTCTGTTAAATAAAACTTTTAATTAGAGAATACATATAATTTCTAAAATCAGAAAGAACAATTCATATTATAAATAAATATCAGGAGGTATATTGTAATTTACCCAATTAAGATTTATGTATAGTTAACTCTTTAACTTAAAAATATTTGTAGACTGCACATCTAAGTAAACGTGTTGCACTCATATCCCCTACCTTAACCCAACTGTCAATTGGCGGGCATTGGTGACATTAGTTCATTTGACATCACTTTACCCATCATACTTCAACTCTAAGTTAGCTTTTGGTTGACTGGAATGATTTTGGGTAGTATAGAATGATTATTTATTGATTAGTCAATAAAACAGTCATTTTTTAAAGGATAACAGATAACTTTAGTCTCTAAAATATATGTTTCTTTCTTTTCATTTAGTTCCTTAATTTTTAATTTTGTCATTTTGGTCTTTAAAGTTGTCAATTTGAATCAATTTAGTCCTATATATCTCTAACGTTTGTCTCCATTGATTACAGGAAAATATTTTATTTTTAGATAAAAGACAATTTTAATCCCTAATCAAATATGCGTCTTTGTCATTTTATTCCCTTAAATTTCAGTTTTATCATTTTGGTCTTCAATTTTGTCAATTTGAGCTAAGACTAATTTTGATTTTGAAAACCAAAATGATAAAATTGAAACTTAAAGACTAAAATGATAAGGAATGCATACTTTGGGACTAAAACTGTCTTTTACCAATATTTCCGTTATCAATATAGATGGACGTTAGACCTAGAACCAAATTGACTCAAAATGACAATTTTGAAAATCAAAATAATAAAATTGAAACTTAAAGGACTAAAATGACAAGAAATACATACGTTGGGACTAAAACTGTCTTTTACTGATATTTTCGTTATCAACGTAGACGGACGTTAGACCTATAACCAAATTGATTCAAATTGACAATTTTGAGGATCAAATTATAAAATTAAAATTTAAGGGACTAAAATGACAAGAAACAAAATATTTTAAGGAATAAAATTGTCATTTATATCATTTTTCTAAATTGGTGAATAGTAATTTTATTTGCAATACACATTTCTTTCTTTTGAGATGTTTTGGAAAATTATTTTGAGAGAAAGTTTTGGAAAAAGTGATTGATTTGATGTGTGTGAGAGAGAGATTTGTTTGGAAAACTTGTTTGGTTTACAAGTTTTGAGAAATTTTTTTGGGAAAATTTGTTTAGTTTGATTACTTTTAAAAACTTATTTGTAGAGAAAATTTCCCAAAATTTTTTCAGAAATACAAACCAAACGAACCCAAATATTTTAAGGAATAAAATTGTCATTTATATCATTTTTCTAAATTGGTGAATAGTAATTTTATTTGCAATACACATTTCTTTCTTTTGGACCGAATCAAATTTCAAAATAATTATTTCGATGGAAGAATCACACCATTCCAACATTTATTCTACTGAATCAAACACTAGCTATAGTTCCAAGTGCTTGCTAGTTTTACATTTCCGGCATGTTTGTTTGGATAGACTTGGGCATGGGTTTAGACTAATAATTCAATAAAATGCGTAAAGACATAAGTATTCCTCATAAAAAATGGAGGATTAGGGAGGGGTTTGGACTATCAATCTCATCGTATTATCTAGTATCAATCCAAACGTAGGATATGATACACAATCTAAAAGAATAAATAATCGAAGTACTATCCTAAGAATGCTAATCTCATAAATCTGCTTAAACAAATATGGTCTTCTAGAATTGAAGGGAAAAACCAAGCTATCCTTGCAATCTATAATGTTTATTTGCAAGTCATAGTAGCAATCTCCATGCCACATCTAATGACAAAAGCAAAATAAAATAAAAGTTATTCTAGTGAATTTCGTGGCCTAAAAGCCCCATTTCATGACCCTATTTGAATATTGGCCAATGATAATTTGTGGAATGACATGATGATTATGGTTTATAACTATGACTCTTTATGTGTTTTGTCTGTATTGACTGATTTGCTAAAGGCTCACTATTGTCTTATGAATTTTTAAATACTAAATTTAAAATTAAAATAAACAAAACCTCAATCCTTTAAATATCATTCATGATGTAACAATTCGTCCCCACCATCTATGTGATATTGATATTGTATGCTTTGGGTTTGTATGGGTTTGTAGACTATAACTGTATGCTTTGGGTCCATGGACCCTCACGGTTTTATCTTTATGGTATCTCACAAAGGACCTCACATTGTTGAGAATGGACTACTCCATATATGGATGATCAGACTATCAATATCTACCTGATATCTAATATGGGATTGGAGTGTCACACATGTCAAAATTGAATATATGTTGCCTATCTTCTTCTTTTTATTTTTATTTTTATTTATTTATTTACATAAAACTTTGTTAAAACCTATCACCTACTTCACCCACTTCACCTACTCCACTACACCTACTCCACCCACTTCACATACTCCACTTCACTTACTCCACCTACTACCTATTCTTCTTTTCTATATATATGAATCATTGTAAACATAACAAAAACATCAATCAATATTACATCAATTTTAACATGGTATCAGAGCAGGTTTAGAACCTAATATTTTCGCTTCCCCGGCGGGCGGCAACCTCACCTTAGCCGCCCGCCGGACCTCAACCTAGTCCGCTAGAATTTGCTACACATACCTTCACTCTTCTTCACCACCTCGCCGAAGCAAACCCAAAATCCCTCTGGGACATTTCGTCGAACACCATGTCTGCAACAATGATGGGCATGACACACACACAGAGATGAGTCTCTCTGCTCTTTCTGCTGCATTAACTGCTTCGCGCTCCGCTTTCAAGTCTGGTTTCCTTTCTACTTTTGTCCGGTTCAATCTATTCACTATCTCAACATTTTTGACACATCTTGTGCAGTCACCTGAAAGCTACCAACACTAATGCAAGTGATCGCTCGCCTATTTCGTGCATGAATTTCTTGGACAGTGTTCAAGCCAGGCTGCTTCTGCCACCCGTCAAAGGATCCCCCGAGATATGAAAGAACTATCTGAATTGTTAGTCTTGCCCACCTTCCACTCCTATCTTTAGTTGAAACACTAGCAGGTTCAGATTTTTCAAAAGCCTCTATGATTCTCATTCCCCTCAGTGTTACAATCTGGGCTGGTTACAACTCATCCTTGCTCACAGATTCTTCCCCCCAAAAGAAGAAGAATATGTTGTTGGGGAAGAGACCTCGTCCTCCGATCAAGAGGACTACCAGCATGACTGAATTCACCTTGGATCTATCCATTGGCGACGCCCCTCCTCAGCCTCCCGCCGCCGGCTTCGATCAACGGTACTTGGGTTCCGCCACCGCCGTCTCACCACGAAACCACCGCCGGAATTTGGCTGATTTCGTGGAGACCCCTCACTTCTTGAGGTCTTGCTTCCTCTGCAAGCGCCGTTTGGTCCCCGGTCGCGACATCTTCATGTACAAAGGAGATAGTGCTTTTTGCAGTCTAGAGTGTAGACAACAGCAGATGAATCAAGACGAGAGAAAAGAGAAGAAGTGCTCCTTGACTGCATCCAAGAAAGAACCTCTTGTTTGATGATTACCTCTTCTTTAATGGGTTGATGGGTCTTGACCGTGGGGCCCCTTCTGATTCATCTGTGAAGGCTCACGATGGTGGTGTCTTTTTTAGTCTTTTTCAAAAGCATAATCATCTCTCCCACCAAAACAACATCTTTCACATCCCACCATGCCCCTTTTTTATTTTTAAAATCAATCTTTCCTTCTGCACCCCACTCACCGACTCCCTCACATCTCTGCTTTCTTTATTTTCTTTTATCTTTCTTTTTTTCCATTACAAAAAAAAAAAAAATAAAAAATAAAACCAAAAACAATTTACAAATTTGCACAATACATCATATTTTATTCATCTCAGGGATCCACCCCGATCACAATTTTACACACACAACCCCAAAAAAAAAAAAAACAAAAACAAACAAACAAACAAACAAACAAAAACCAACAACACCCACAAACACCCACCCACAGGCGGGATTTTTTTCCTTTTCCCTTCTCTACTCTACTACAGGTCTCTTCTTCTTGCCTCCGTCCTGAGCGGCCCTTGACGGTGTTGCCTCCGTGCTTCCTAGACCGCCAAGCAAGTTGCCTCCTCCCTGCTCCTCCACTACAGCATATGTCGGACCTCCAAATCGGAACATGACGGTGGCCTTCCGCTTCAGCTCCTTATTTTCCGCTTTGGCACACTTATCTCTGCTCGTGCATCCTTATACATGCGCTGGAGCAGAGCCAGTTGGGCGTTTAACTGCTGCACCTCATTTGTCCTACTCTGCAGCTGGTGTGACAAGTTTGTGACTGCCATCATGGTCTCCACACATGACTTCAAAGTATACTGATTGGCCTCAATATCAGTTTGCACCGCCATTTTTTGCTCCAAAGACCGCATCGGAAAGTTCAACGGAGCAAACCCAGAGGCGCTTGGTTGAGGTTCAAGGGCCACCGCACCGCGATTTGGGATTAACAAAGACCAAAGCGATTCTACTACTAAAGCATGGCTTGAGAAGATGAAAACCCTATTTATCAGAAAGGGTTGTGGATTCTCCTCACAGAGTGTTATTACAGGTGATGTATATAAAGGAGTCAATGAGATTGGACTGCCTTTTGAAATTGCTCAACGGATAACATTTGAGGAGAGAGTTACTCAATATAACATGCAGTATCTGCAGAAGCTGGTTGATGAAAAGTGTGTTTAACCTATAGGGATGGTTTGTCAACCTACTCGCTGAGGGAAGGTTCGAAGGGGCATACTTTCTTAAGACCTGGTCAAGTGGTACATCGACGGATAATGGATGGGGATATTGTTTTCATCAATAGACCTCCGACAACGCATAAACATTCCCTACAAGCTTTGTCGGTTTATGTTCACGATGACCATACAGTTAAGATCAACCCTCTTATATGTGGGCCACTTAGTGCTGATTTTGATGGTGATTATGTCCATATATTTTATCCTCAATCCCTTGCTGCAAAATAAGAGGTTTTGGAACTGTTCTCTGTAGAGAAACAGTTGCTTAGTTCTCATAGTGCAACTAACGAATGTATTTTGGACTCTTTTTAACTCTAAAATTAGACATTAACCATACAGAGGGAAACATAAAACTTAAACCTTCATCTCCGCAATACGGAGTAAACTCATTCCCCATGTAGTGTACACAACCAAACACCAACAAGAAAATAATAAAACAAAAATAACATGTGATTTTTGGCAACGCAAAATATACATATTAGCCATAATGAGATACACAAAACTTTTGTGACTAATAAACACACACAAATTTCATCAACAAAATTGTTAGTTATATTCTAACACAAGCACAAATCACTAGTCCCACATAAATCAATTTATAAGAATCTTCTTCTAACAAGAAAACTATTATTTATATATATGTGTACGTACCTTATCAGGATGAAGATAGACTTTGTCTCTGAAGAGAAGAACAACACTGGCCTCATCAAGAACACGGGTGAAAGCAGCGACTGAGTGTTCCTGAAAATCAAATAATTGTAGTATTTCAAATAATTCATGTACAATTACAGACTCTCACTGAAAACACAATAACTGAAATACATGGAGTGACAAATACTAAAAAATGATTAATCAAAGATCCTAAATTTACTACATATACATACTTCCACAACTTCAATTTGTAGATAAACACAAAAAACAAACCCACCAAGAAAACTAAATTATATTCTCCTAAATTGTATTTGAGTCCAAAATCCTCCTAAATTATATTCTCAAAGATCCAAAAGTCAAAAAAAAAAGGATCTAATAAACAAAATCACAGTACGCAATCATTGATACATTTTATCGAACATTTGACAGATAAGAAAAATGGGATTTGAACTCTAATGAGAGAAACCAAACATCACAACAACACCCCTAAAAAAAATTCTAAAAAGGCACTTGGCAAGAAAAAAAATCAATTAGGGCATAGAAATTGCAATTTATAGGGCAAAGAGAGACAAGCACAATTTGTCAATAGAAAAAATAAGAAGCTGAAGATATGACACCACCATACAGTGTCCTCTACAACGTTATGACACCACCATCCAGTGTCCTCTACAACGTTATGACACAACCATCCAGTGTCTTCACCAACGGTCTGACACGACCCATCAGTGTCTCCTATCCTCTTTTATTTTTATGTATTTTCTTGTTTTGTTACTCTCTCCAAACTCAAGTTGGTTAGTTCCTATCCCCCTTGAGTTTGCGAGGGGCTGTTAAAACCTATCACCTACTTCACCCACTTCACCTACTCCACTACACCTACTCCACCCACTTCACCTACTCCACTTCACCTACTCCACCTACTACCTATTCTTCTCTTCTATAAATATGAATCATTGTAAACATAACAAAAACATCAATCAATATTACATCAATTTTAACAAACTTGAATTTTTGCCCATTATCAATAATATCTTAAATTTCATGCATTTTTTTAATATGTATAATCTGAATGATTCCATGCATTTTATTTGTGATTTCAATAGCCTCATCATTTTCCCGACTTCTTATAAACAAAACACTGGAACTCACATGTTTTTCTCTAAATCCTGGTTGCAGATTAAGTTAGAAAACCATTTTGGTACTGTAACTTATGGTAATGTTGAAATAATGAAGTGGTTCTTAAGGTAGCCATTGACAAAGTTTGGGCCAATATTTGATAATGTTGTTGTAAAAGTAGATTGAGTGGTTGTGATACGAAACTATTTGTGATGTCAGCTTGATTGTGTGCTTATGTGATTTTTTTTTTCCCCCTCAATGAGTATATATTTTGTCGAATTATTTTTATCATTAGACACGGATCATAAATTCATTCATATGTTTGACCATGTCCAAAGAAAAGCATACAAGAGTATTTTCATTTAAATTGCATTCCTTACAACTTATATAATTTACTCCACAACTATCTATATCAATGGAATATTTTATTGAAACTCTTTATCTCATACATTTCTTTTTATGTCATAGTGGATCTAATCTATAACATATATAAAAAACGTATCTATAACATATATAAAAAGTCTAGAACTCATTCTAACGGTTGAGTCAAACGCTTGCAATGACGGAAAAACCCCAACTTGAATTTGGGGCATATATAAAAAGAGGTTATCTATTCTAGGCGAGGGATACTTATTTTTAATCGTAACTCGATTCAGTTTGCAATAATCTGTACACAATCTCAATGAACCGTCTTTCTTTTTAGCGAATAGGGTCGGTGCTCCCCAAGGTGAAGTATTAGGGCGTATGAAGTCCTTATCCAACAACTCTTGTAATTGTTCTTTCAGGACAACTAACTCAGTTGGTGCAAATCTATACGGGGACATGGAAATAGGTGCCGTACCCAGCACTAAGTCTATTGAAAACTGAACCTCCCAGTGAGGCGGTAATTTGGTGAGATCTTCATGAAAGACATCTGAATATTCATAAACCACTCTGGGAAACGCATCTCGAACCCCACCACTTTTATCATCTAAGAAGGTTGTCAGGAGAGAGTTAAGTTCGCCTTGACCACGTGGGTTGTATAATGGCGGCAACTATCCGTCAGTTCTATCCCCCGAAAAAGTGAAGTAATCATCATCTAACATACACACAGTAACTCTCCTATGGTAGCAGCCTATGATGGCACGGTAGGAGGACAACCAATCCATGTCGAGAATGACATCAAAATCATACATATCTAACAACACAAAGCTGAATGGAAGTCGACGACTAGGGACCTCAACTACACACCCACGATATCCCTGATTCAAAACGATCTTACCCCCAATGGGTGACTCTACCACAAGCGGTGACTCTAGTTGCTCACTTTCTAACCCCAATAAGGATGCAAACGCAGATGCTATGAATGAGTGGGATGCCTCGGTATCTATCAACTCACTAGCCCAAGTATTAAAAATAAGATAAGTACCTCTCAGAATTTCCAGTTGGCCACATTGGTAACATACACCACGGATTTGACCCGTGTTCCCAGAATTTCCACCCGTCACAGAACTAGAAGACTTGGTCTACTATGGTGGTGACTGAAATGATGAAGATGAACCCCTAGATTTCTTAGAAGATCCTGAATCACCTTGGGATTCTGAGTAGCGCCCATCTTCTTTAACTTCTGTCTTGTCTCTTCTGCCTCTACCATAATTTCTATATGCTCCGTGGCCTCTACTAACCGATCATAATCATGAATCATATTTCCAACCATCTTATCAAGATTTTTGGTCTTAATTGCTTCTCAAATTCTAGACATCGGCGCTCTTCTGTCGCCACAAGTTTGGGTGCAAAGCGAGAAAGGCTAGTAATGTGGCTTCAAATTCGGCCACAGGAGTGTCAAGTTGCAATAGCTCTTCGAACTGCCTCCTCAACCATTCCCTAACAGTGGGAAAGAGGAACTTCTCCTAGAAGGCGCACGTGAATGTCTCCCAAGTGTGCTCTACATGGCTCTTGGCATACTTCTATCATTGCCCGGCCTCTCCTTTCAGTTGATAGGTTGCTAATGCCACCCCTAAATCATCCTCACG